TGACAGTTACAAAACCGGGTTCCTGACAGGCTGCCCTTGACCTGGCCTCGTGCTTGCACCGTCTTCCTGATTTGTACTAAAGTGGCCATTAAGGATAAATTAGAGACTTTATCACAGTTTAACTGGAATAAATATCTAAAAAATTAAGTCTTCTGCTGCAAAAAGGTGCGTGTGCACATCAGACTGATAATCTCCCAAACATGTGAGTGCATTCAATATCCCAACACCTTACTACCTACCATCTTGGAAATATCCTCTCACTCCTGATTTCTCTGGACACTGATTAGTTTTTCATTTAGAATCATGCACAGCTCCAGATCCACACCAAACAGCCTCATGTGAGTTTAGCTAAAGACAGCCACAACAAACAGCGGATCCCTGCACACAAAGACACCAAAACTGAGAAAAGAACCTACCCCTTTGGTGTGATCTGTGACAACGTCAGGGCCCCCCTTAGCCTGCTAGCTATCCAGAGCAGGATGAGATGGAAAAGTCTTCAGAGCGGCTCTGGTCTTACCTACCACCCAAAACCCTCTCACTGCTGCTACAGCAACAGAGAGCGGATTACTGGACTGTACCATTCTGTTGTTAGAGGGGATTAGAGTTCACACAACATGGCCCCTTTCTGGGTGTGCGTGAGCATGGCACTAGGAGTGTGTGTGTGTGTGTGTTCCACAGATGAGAGATTACCACAAACGGCATTCTCAGCTGAGCTCAACAGGAAGAAATTTACTTCACGGTCAAAAAACTAAAAAAATAAAAAAAGGGTCAGCTAAAGAAGATCTGTACATAAAAGATATGAAGGTTGTGTTACATAAAACAATTTTACCTTTAAAGTAAATCACAACGTCTCTTTTATGTCAGACGTCCAGCGTTTCTGATGCATAAGGAAACGTAAGAAACAAATTCATTGGATATGTGGGATTTTGAAAAGTAACATCACACTGAGTGAAAAGGGACAGATCAGTGTGAAACCCCGAGAGGATCAGAGAGCATGACTTTGGTAGCTTTGATCAGGCCCAATGTAAAAGCAGGGAATCGCCTCATTATGGCTGGCGGCCGATTAGTATGGAGCACAACGACAATCCATTATATAACGCAGCCAAACAGCACCCGCTCTAATGTAAACATAGGTTTAGGAATAATTCATAAGTGTATTTTAAATTTTAAATCACAAGTTGAAAGTAAATCCACTGGTCAGTCTGATGAAGAGCTTACCTTCTCCTGCCCCGCCTCCTTGGCGTTTTCTTCACACCTCTGTGTGTCTCCGTGGTCGGAACTCTGGTTGTGCTGCTGCCTGCACGAAGTGACCGACAGCTGCCTCTGGAGCCGCAGCACCTCCTTCTGAGACTCCCTGAGAAGGTTTTCATATTCCACCCCTCTGGACTGAACAGTCGAGCCCTGATGCAGCATGGCAGCAGAACATCACCATTTATTATCATATTTTTACAAATTCATTTACTGTTGACCTGAAAACAGTTCAAGTGTCTCATGTGGTAAATATAAAGGTTACTAAAACATAAAGGAGGTTTGCAGATGTCAAAAACTTTAAATTAATGTGATTTGATCTTTATGGTTGTACACCAACATTCCCACAGCTGATCCCTATTAGAACCTTTTATTATTATAACCAACAGAGGTTCACATTAATCAGCTCCTGATTACAAACAGGCAGTGTGATGGGCAGCCTGTTCCTGCACTGTCATCTATCCAGACATCAGCAATGACGCAGCCTTTGAAATACAGGAGAAATGGGATGAGCAGTACACCTGCTGGCCAGCAGAGGGCGAGGTTGAGGCATGAATAAACTGAAATGGATCTGATGAGAAGAGTTAAAGGTGCAAGATTTAAAACTTTAGTCCTTCAGTTAAGAATGAACCCATTAAAATGACTTTAGGTTGAGAGAGCTCAACCTTTTCTCTTAAATGACCTGATTTGTGCGGAGTTGAGCTTCCAGCTCCCTGCAGTCGTCCTGGAGGGCAGCAATCTCTTTGTCCTTAGATAGCAAAGCATCAGCATGCTGGGCCAGGTCACGAGCTCGCTGACGGGCGAAGGCTTTCTTATACTGTTCCACTGAACCAGGTCTCAGCAGGGACGGGGAATTCACCTAGACAGGAGGAACAGATTTCAGAAGCATGTCTTAGGACAGGGGTGTCAAACTCAAACGGGGCCAAAATGAAACTCTGGGACGAAGTTGCGGGCCAAACTTAATATTTTTTTGAAAAAGTGACGGAAAATTTGCACATTTTCTTAATCAACATATATGCAATTTTGAACCTTTTAATTTGGAAACAAACATATTTTTGCATTAACACTGTGGAATAACCAAATTACACACGAGCAAGTCAGTTTTAAATAAAAGGCATCAGTAGTATTCGTTACTTGTGGTATATTCAGCATTTTTAAAATCTAATCAGGATTTATGTTTTCTTGATTATTCATTTTTCTTATTTTTTATTCTCCTTTTTTTCTCCTGTAATAAGTGTCATCGCTGCTGTGACATCTAGCTTTCCCCACTGAGGAACAATAAAGGGATTTTCTATTCTATCCATCTATCTGCAGCCTTTCCACTTCCTGTTTACTGTAGGTTAAATCTTTTCTCACGGGCCACCAACAAAATAAAAATATAATTTTATCTTAAATGAAAATGCAACACCTCACCTGTTAACTTTCACGTTTTGGAGCAGAAAAAGAGCATAAAACCAACATATTTAAAGCTCAGTTTGCTGCACTGGTTTACTGTGATGCTCACCTGTTCCAGCCAGATACCTGCATCATGGGGTTGATCTGAGCTGAGGAGGAGACTCCTGTTGTTTTGTTCATCTTCATCATAATAATGACAACATTAGATGACAACAGGTGCTCACATAGGTTTGTGCTGCTGAACATGTCTGAGCAGCTTGAGCACGTTGTTGTGTGTCGGGGAGGAAACACAACCACAGCAGCCACAGAGTCATGCTGATTTGAGCGTGTCGCTGCTCGCTGGAGTTATATCAGCTCTGTCTGGAAGTTAGTTGAAAAACTTTCTCTTTCAGTCGTGAACACATTACTGAGCGGTTAAAATCTCAGTTTCTGGGCTTCAACGTCGGCAAGTAGCTGAGTAAACTCGGCGCTGAGTGAGAGGAGTGTTTAGTTTGTCCGAGGCAGCGGAGCTGCAGACACCGGCAGCAGGCGCTGGAAAAAACACAAAGGAGGGGGCGTTTCGGCTCCGCGCTAACGCCCCAAAGCATCATGGGAGTTGTAATCTTTGCGGTAAAATTGGCCAGCGGGTCAGTTTTAATTTATTTTTGATATTTATCTCGCGGATGCGGGCCACATAAAAATGCACCGTGTCTGACACGTGTGTCTTAGGAGATCAACGATGGTAAACTTCACAAATGGTTTGAAGATGGGAGGAAAAAATATTCTACTAGATAAGATAATCATGAGTCACATGTGTAGAAAGTCTAACTGTGGTCTTAGAAAAACCACCTTAGTCCATAACAGGTTTCATCAGTCACCTCAGAATGAGGACAGCGTTTTAATGGCTGGTCTCTTTTCCTTGCGAGGAGCACAAGATGAAGAGGAAGTTCAAAGGGTCTCCTTCAGTCAGTTAAACAGAAACATAACCGGGGATTATCTGAAAGAACTTATTCTGTATTTCTCCATTTAAAAGGATTTTTCAAACATCTGAATTGTGCTTATGTTAAGAATATGAATGGATTCTCATGTCAGTTCTCTTGTTCGCTCTTCCTTCTTCCATCTCAGGAACATTGCTAAGCTGAGTCCCATTCTGTCCCGCTCTGAACTTGAGACAGTTATCCACTCCATCTCCTCACGCTTAGACTACTGTAACTCTCTTTTCACGTGTCTGAGCAGAACCTCCCTGAACCGTCTACAGGTGGTTCAGAATGCCTGTGCTCGGCTTCTGACCAAGTCCTCCAAACACACCCACATCACCCCGCTTCTCCTCCAGCTTCACTGGCTGCCAGTCAACTTCAGGGTTCATTTCAAGATCCTGGTTCTGGTCTTTAGGGCCTTACATGGACAAGCACCATCTTACATTGGTGATCTTCTTAGTCCCTACACCCCCAGCAGGTCCCTGAGGTCCAGTGATCAAAGCCTGCTGGTTGTGCAGCACCAGGCTAAAGACCAAAGGTGACAAATCATTTGCTGCTGTGGCCCCCAGACTCTGGAACTCTCTCCCCCGAGCCTGAGATCAGTGGACTCAGTGGTCTCCTTTAAAAAGCAGCTGAAAACTCACTTGTTCAGGCTGGCTTTGGTGTGATCTTATTCTGCTCTTGTTCCCCCTTTCCCAGGATCCACTGACTTCCCTCTTTCCTATTCATTTTCCCTCTCCCTTTCCTTACGTAAGGATCCTGGTGTTTGTCATCTCATGTTTGGCGAGTCCAACTTGTGATAAAACACCGACAGCATATTGATTTGGACAGTAGTGTGTAATAATCTGTCTGAATGATTTGAAGAGGCTGGTTTACCACTCTGAGGTTGGCCTCCTGGAGTTTCCGAGCCCTTTCTTCCAGTCTCTTAGCAAGAACAGCCAGCTCAGTGTTCTTCCTCCTCAACCGCCTGACCTTCTCCTCAGTCTCGGGGGCGCTGCTCTTTTTCTAAAGACACAAGATGCTTGATCATAGAGCTAATACTTCCTTGTGTGTGGTTAGTTTAAAGATAGGTCAAGTAGAAATCATCCATCTGCAACAACTGGAGATTAAATTGACGGTGAAGTTATTTTTTCTGGTGTTTTATAAAATGAATAAATGCCTGTAAAGAGAGAAAAAGGAAGTGCAAAATCATTTTAAGTGTTCTGTGGACCTGTCCTACTTTCTACAAAGCCTTTCATCAAGGGTACACACACACACACACACACACACACACACAGTTATTTTTAGTCCTACCAGCAGGCTATTCTCCTCCCTCAGAGTGTTGCAAGTCTTCTCCAGCTTGTCGAGTGCTCGCAGGAGTTCGGAGTTCTGTCGCACCAGGAACCCGTAATCTGTACCATTCTGAAAAACAAGCACAAGAGGAACACTCATTTTACCAACTGAGGCCTTTTGTTTCCATAAACACCCAGAAAACACAATGGTATCACTATGTGTTTCTAGAGAGTGATTGGTTATTTTTTACAGCTGCAGAATTGATTATTCAGTTACAGAAAACGCTCTCTGCTGTCAGCGGCTGTTGGTTAAAAGCTCCCTGACTCGACTTTTCATTACACAAACTCATTCAGTCTACGACTGCCACTAGAAAATGGCTTAAATGCATCATCTCTGCAGGAAAGAAAGAACATTCACACTGTGTCCTTGGGAGAGATGAACCAAACTAAAAGAACATTTAAGATTTCAAACACAGTTTTAAATATCACACAGCTAATGTACTCAAATTTGTTTTGAAGCAAACATCCGGTGGTTCAAGAGATACAGTACAGGCCAAAAGTTTGGACACACCTTCTCTTTCTGAGTGTTGTCTTTATGTTTCATGATCACACATTTGATTACATTGATGAACTTCAAGAGGTAGTCAACTGAGATGGGTTTCCAGCAGGCTTGAAGGAGCTCATCAAGAGAATACCAAGAGTGTGCAAAGCAGTAATCAGAGCAAAGGGTGGCTATTTTGAAGAAAATAGAATATAAAACATGTTTTCAGTTATTTCACCTTTATTTGGTTAAGTACATAACTCCACATGTGTTCATTCATAGTTTTGATGCCTTCAGTAAGAATCTCCTAATGTAAATGGTCATGAAAACAAAGAGAACACATTGAATGAGAAGGTGTGTCCAAACCTTTGGCCCGTACTGTACTTTTCTAACACCACAAACAAACATAACTTCAATAAATTCCATTGCTTGACCCCCCCCCCCCCCCTCACCCCCCCCCCCCCCCCCCCCCCCCAATACTAATCACAATCATCATTTTGAGACTGTACCACCCACCACTAGTACTCAGGACATCATAAATCACCTTAAATGACTTCATTTGTCTCCAAATGGTAAATGGCCTGTATTTGATATAGCGCCTTCTAGAGTCCTGGAACCCTCCCAGGGGCTTTACAACACAATCAGTCGTTCACCCATTCACACACACATTCACACACTGGTGGGGATGAGCTACGATGTAGCCACAGCTGCCCTGGGGCGCACTGACAGAGGCGAGGCTGCCGAGCACTGGCGCTACCGGTCCCTCCGACCACCACCAGCAGGCAACGTGGGTTAAGTGTCTTGCCCAAGGACACAACGACAGCGACAGACTGAGCGGGGCTCGAACCTGCAACCTTCCGATTACGGGGCGAGCACTTAACTCCTGTGCCACCGTCATTTGTCTCCAAGATCAACAAGTTCTGACTTTTGAGGTTAAACCTGTTTTTATGTGTGCTGAATGAAGCCCAGAGAACTGGAAGATTTGTGGGAGGTTTGTAGTTCATGCACATGCATGCACCTCCCTCTCACAACATTTCATTTTTGATTTTCGGAAGCGTGCAAGACACAAAATTAAAACAAAAGCAAGAAAAGCTTTGAGCCATCCATATTCAGATTTCTGTAGTTGGAGTGTGCCTGTGAAACACCCTGTTACAGGTGCTTCACTAATGAGCTGATTATCCTGTGAGCTCTAAGTGAAGAGACAGCTAACGGGAGCAGCAGTCAATGTGGCAGGTCATCTGTGTGGTAATGAAGAAGGTAATAAGGGGTTAACAGCACGTGGATGATGAGAACTCACATCAGCGTTCTGTTTAAATGGAAGTGAGGCCAATCTGCTTCAGTGTCAGAGGTTCTGTAATGAGCCCTGAGGCTGGGGGGGGGGGGGGGGGGGGGGGGGGACGGGGGGGGGGGGGGACACCTGCCACACACGATGTAGATGCTGAAGTAACAGAAGGTGGAGAGACAGGGCACAAAGAGGAGATGGTGGGGTTTTCCTGAATGAAAACAGTGACTTTCTGTCTGCTTTCAGATGATAAGGAAGCAATCTGGATGTTCGTATGAACACCTGCAACAACCCACTAACAGATGATGACATCAGCAGAACCTGAATTATCACCGAGCAAAGATTATGACAGAAGAGCTGCGGTTTCTGCTTGGAGGAAGACGTTAAACGCTTTCTGCGATGTGTGTTGCTCCAGGTTCAGACTTCATACTGACCTAAAACATCCCACTGCTACACTGACAAATAACACTGGACCATATACTGTTGAGATTTTCGCCCATAAAAGTTATCAAACCGACTGACCTTTTATCAGGTTGCCTTGGAAACGGTGATGATGGGTAATCTGGTGGTTCCCTAGAGGGTTTTTATTACTGCTCCGCTTGTTACACAGCCAATACCGAGAACTACCTTCACAATAGTGTGTGTGTGTGTGTGTGTGTGTGTGTGTGTGTGTGTGTGTGTGTGTGTGTGTGTGTGTGTGTGTGTGTGTGTGTGTGTGTGTATAGTGTGAGCGCTTGCATTCTATTGGTGAAACAGGAGAGAAACTCTAGCACTATCAGTCAATATTTTGACTGAATCATTTACTGAGCTGAGATAATGTCCTTGGGCAAGACACTTAACCCACCTTGCCTGCTGCTGCTGCTGGTCGGAGGGACCGGTGGCGCCTGTGTTCGGTAGCCTAGCCTCTGTCAGTGCGCCCCAGGGCAGCTGTGGCTACATCTTAGCTCATCACCATCAGTGTGTGAATGTGTGTGTGAATGGATGAATGGTACACTGTAGTGTAAAGCACTTTGGAGTCCTTACTCTGAAAGGCGCTATACAAGTGCGGGTCATTTATCATTTACACGGTGGAGACTTAATTAGCTATCAGTTGGAGGAGTCTGAATTTTGCTGCAGATCAGGATGATGATGCTAAAACACCATCCTGTCAGGGAGAACTCAGCCTCCCTCCTGAGTCTAATGATTCTGGAGACCATTCATGTTGACTGATTGTTTCTCAGGAATCATACTGTAATTCACCGGGTGCATCTCCTAAGGATAGAGGCAAATGCTGGCTCTTTCTTCTTTGGCGACCACAGGAAAGGGGCCGCAGGTGGTGAAGTCTTCCCCAGGCCTGCAAGCATATTAGTATTCAGTGGGTTCTGCTCTCACACAGCAGCTCTGTTCTCATATGGACCTGGCTCAGTGAAGCAGGGCAGATGTAGCTCAGTAGCAGGAGGGCAGGGGTCCCTCCACAAACGTCTGTCGGCGGAGTTGAATCACGAGCTGGGCAGACAAGCCCAAAGCTCCCATGCCACTCTCCTCTCTCTGCGGTAAATGTGAATGCTCAGATAATAAAAATGCACGACTGCAATTTATTCAAAAGTGCATAAATGTTATTTTAAATGAGTATTATTATTTGTTATCAAACAACTGCAACTCGCACAAGGACACTGATAAAAACATATACTTTTTGTAATACGATCCGAGTTTTATATGCAGGCTGAATGTGAAAATTGTCTTTAACCGCCATTTCCTGCATTAGAAAATAGACAGGCAAACGGTCGAGTCAGAAAAAGTAAAAGAAATCTATGTCACGCTGCCATCTTGGCTCGCACCTGGGGACAGCTGTGTTTATTTTAGCAGCCAGGAACAGCGAACGTCTCAGCTAGTAGAAGCTAACTGTTAGCATTAGCAACTCCACAACATGGCAGAACTCCTTTAGGCCTGTGTTATTTGTGGATAAAACGTCAGCGTTGCAGAGTGAACGGAGGCAGCGAAAGAGTCGTGATCCAAGACTCCAAATCCTGTTGATTTTTGCCGCACTCATCCAGCTAACTTCTACTCAATGACAAAGGAGCGCCGGAGCTTTTATTTCCACAGAGAACAACTCACAAGAAATGTATTCATAACAGAGACCACAGCAGATTCATTTCAATAAAGAGTGTATGCTCAGTCTAAAATTAATCACAGATGTTTAGGAAACTGACTTCGGCCAACAGTCCTGTGAGATCTTAGTTTAAGGATTAGATTTACTGACATTTGGACAAATTAAGTAACAATACAGATTATAAATACTAACTTAAGTCAATCTCAGGATTTTTAAATGGCACACACCAATTTCAATCAAAAATACTATAATGCAGGGGTCCTCAATTACAATAGTCTGAGGGCCACTTCAAAAAATGACCCAAGGCAAGAGGTCCAGGGGGTGGGGTGGGGGGGCGCTTAAGCCTGAAGCCTGATTTATGCTTCTCCGTCTACGTCAGTGCGGAGACACGCAACGCCATTATCCGTCCTTGTGTAGGGCTCCGGCAGACAAGCAAGTACGTACGGAGTCGAGCCCACTTTTTTAAACATCCGTCGAACGAGACGGATTACGCAAGCTTGTGATTGGTCAGGACGCCGCTGTTGTTTACAGCGCCGCCATTGCAAAGAGAGCCGAGGATAACTAGCGGCAGACACGGAGAAGCTTGAAGAATACCTCGCGAAAAAACTCTAAAAATATGAACGTTTAATTCTCCCGTGACTGGAGGAGTGAAAAGATGCGCAGCAAGCGTTTTATTTGTGGACGGAAATGACAGGAAACGTGGGTTTAGAGGTGGGGAGCGCATGAAGCGGTGGGAGAATGAGAGACAAATATGTTCGTGTTAAAAGTCTCTTATATACACAAAAAACACAATATAAACACACGATCTTGGACCGATACATGACAGGATACCACAGAACAGCGCTACGCCCTCTGTTGTCCTGCCGGGCAATTGCTTTGCAACACTCCCCAGGAGACGGAGAAGCATGAATCAAGCCTGGTTGATGCTTCTCCGTCAGCTCCGCAAGGGACAGGCACGCACGGACTGACGGAAGCGTTTTGCTCTCACACTTCTCCGTCTCCTGGAGAGTGTTGCAAAGCAATTGCCCGGCAGGACAACAGAGGGCGTAGCGCTGTTCTGTGGTATCCTGTCATGTATCGGTCCAAGATAGTGTGTTTATGTTGTGTTTTTTGTATATAAGAGACTTTTAACACGGACATATTTGTCTCTCATCCTCCTCCACCTCTTCATGCGCTCACCACCTCTAAACCCACGTTTCCTGTCATTTCCGTCCACAA